GAGAGAGTGGGAGAGAGAGTGGGAGAGAGAGTGGGAGAGTGAGTGGGAGAGAGAGTGGGAGAGAGAGTGGGAGAGTGAGTGGGAGAGAGAGTGGGAGAGGGAGTGGGAGAGAGAGTGGGAGAGAGTGGGAGAGAGAGTGGGAGAGAGAGTGGGAGAGAGAGTGGGAGAGAGAGTGGGAGAGAGAGTGGGAGAGTGAGTGGGAGAGAGAGTGGGAGAGAGAGTGGGAGAGTGAGTGGGAGAGAGAGTGGGAGAGTGGGAGAGAGAGTGGGAGAGGGAGTGAGAGAGAGTGGGAGAGGGAGTGGGAGAGGGAGTGGGAGAGAGACTGGGAGAGGGAGAGGGAGTGGGAGAGTGGGAGAGGGAGTGGGAGAGAGAGTGGGAGAGGGAGTGAGAGAGTGGGAGAGAGAGTGGGAGAGAGAGTGGGAGTGGGAGAGGGAGTGGGAGAGTGGGAGAGAGAGTGGGAGAGGAGAGCAAGGAGAGAGCGAACTCAGGTGAGAACGAATCACGTGACCGACTATTACCATCGATGCACTAACTATACTAATTTACCTAACTACTGTACATTATATCGTTAATTATAAGCACGTTTTAATGATCATGAATCGGGTTTGTAATATTGTGACTGCGACGACGAAATAAATGAACAAGCGGTGTTTGTGGGAACTGGACTAACGATTCACGGCACCACGCTCCCTCTGTGTGCTCGCGGTGCTGAGGCTGGCAACAGCTACGCGGGCCGTGCGATGCGGTAGTTGCGTTAAGAGTCGTGCGGGTGATCATGAACCAAAGCTAAGCAGGGTCGTGCCTGGTTAGTCGTCATCGTCAAATAGTCAGCTGTGATCTATCCACTGCTGGATTGAGGCATCTCCAAGCCGTCGTCTTCTCTGTTCTCGCAGCAGAGTCTAACTCGTGTCGCTCCTGCGCACGAGCCCACTTCATTTCCATGGTGGACGTGCTATTGAGGAAGTTATTGATTGCGGACCGGGATCGAGGTTGCTGTTCCCGTGAACGTCTCTCGTCAATTCCTCCACCCCGTGTCGAAGACTCGGTTCGACCAGACTCTCACCGTTTCGTCTCATCACCACACCGCACTGCTTAACTCTGGAATTGCCTCACATCGTCTCTTTTACCCACGCTCTTAATAATAACAGTGCTCAATTCAAGAAATCTGCAAAAAAAATTGTATCTCTTATCCACTAAAAAATGTGATAGTACGTACTGTTTGTTGCTAGCCGCTTGATGTTTTAGGGGCCCACTGTGCGTATGCTCAGCAAGTTTGTAAGATGAAGTCGCCATCTCAATCTCTGGGTTACATTCTCAGTACTCCTGGAGGGCAATCGTCAGGGGACGTGGCGGCAGCGGCGTGCACTCCACAGGGAGCGGTGCTGGCTACTTGGGTTCGGTCTCACGGCGCGGCAGTTTTCCCAATGGGGGTGCTCACCCCATCCCTCTGTCCACCCACCCAGCATTACGAAAGGGTACATCACCACACTAGAGTCGATGGGCGTGTTAGTTTCGTGTGGCGAGGTCAAATGTGGATACACTATAATTCATTTTTCCAACATGTCTGGCCACTGTCGAAGAGTAGACCAAACTACACGATGTAGGGCCCCCTCCCGTGGAGGCCCTTCCACCAGCAGTGTCTTGAACGAGCAGTTGCAGGGCTGCGCCTTCATAAACACCACTTGTTATGCGCAATGGGGGTCCGCTACTCACACACTGATGCAAGCCTCAATAACGCCATTGACTCTGACTCTCCTATCACCAGAAAGTGGCAGTGTGTGTGTGTATTTCTTATTGCGTGTGTGTTGAGTGTGTGTAGGTCGACTCGGCCTCAAATGAGTACCTGGTGCGGTGTGTAAACGTCGCACTAGGGAGACAAAGACGGCCGGTCGTAGGTCTGGCCACCCACCCCTTCGTGTTTCGTTACAGTTTGAATATGTGCTCGCTAATAGCACTTGACCCGTTAATCTGTTAATGGCTATACGGAGGATCTTTGTCTCTGTATTAAACATTCTTTTGTTTTTGTCTTCGATCCACAGATTGAACCGGCAACTTTGACTCCTATGAACTCGGCAAGCACTCACAAGTACAGTCACCGGCACTCACTAGCACACATTCACCAGTACACTCACCAGTACAAACTCACCGATATACTCACCAGCACTCACCAGTACCGACCCCATGTATGGAACCATCGCCTATGATGTCGCGTTTCTTTTTAAGGCAGATGTGACAGCACTTGACATGGCTCGTACGCACACACATGCACACTTCCTTAATTGAATAATACAGCGTGCGTGCGTGTGTTTGTGCATGGGTGGGGTAGCGTTGTGGTTAGATTACAACGAACCCGGTGAACCGAGTTCCATTCCCGCTGATGGCCAAGATCAGTCGCAAATATCTTCACCGGTTTCGATTCTGGCCCTCCCCAAGGTACCAAACAGAAATAGTACCCAACAGCACTGGGGAAACAAAGGCCGCAGGACGGGCGTGGTGTTAAGACTTCTTAGGTGTTCGCAAACAGCCTTGCCCCAACAGGTTCTGTAGACTATACGGACATCTTTGTCTCTGAAGCGCTTCTGATAATTGGGAGCGCTTTGAGATTCATTACAACTCCCTGTCGAGGCAGCCTCGGGGTTAGTCGTATTTAAATATAAAGGAGGACACGCACCGTAAGCGCATGTGCCGAGCGTTGATTATACATACATAATTGCCTGCATGGCATTGTAACACGCCACTTTTATTTCACGGTTGGGAGACCTGTTGAATTCTCCAATTCTGTGACGTGCGTAAAATTTAGACAGCGTGGTTGAAGCCACTTTGTGCCTCAGCGCTGTAGAATACGTAACGCGCAGTTTTATTTCGTACGGATGCTCAAGAAAGCAGACGAGTGGGAAGACAGCCAGAAACATCGCCAGCAATTGCCCAGCTCTGTGGTCCTATATTGGGACATTTGGTCAATTCCATTAATGAGTACTGTTAATTCGTTTAGTCCTGACGGCGCGTACGAGCACTGTAAACCCGTTGTTAAACACCATTCAAATATTAAATATTACTCTGTAGTAGAGATGCGCACATTTTGACCGTTAGTGAGACTGCCTTCTCAGTTAGCCCATCACTCCGGGGATCTGGTTACGGGCCCAACTTTGGGATTCCCTCCCATCGTCTCTTTTCCCAAGCAATTATAAACAACCCTGCTATATTCTAAACACGTGTCTCGCACTCTTAACTACCACAACTTTGATAATGCTGTTTGTTGCTGGCCGCTTGATCGCGTTGGTAGGATGAATTGGTGTCGCTAGCGCAACGAGGCGTTGGCGTTCGTCATCGCCCCACGGAGTAAACGAAGTGCCCTTGTTTGACATTGCCAGGGATGATTCTCGCGTCGATATTTACTGCGTGAAACAAAACATGAATTACAATTGCGCAGAATTTGCAAGCACTCTCAGTGTGACAGCAGCAAGCTAATGAACTAGCTGTCTAACAATCTAGCCGTCTAGTTAACGAGCTCGCTGTTTAACTAGCGCCGCGCAATATTGGCGAAAGCGTGGAAGGTACGCGCCATGTGTGGGGCATGGCCGCTCTTCGTCTGTAGCTCACAGACGCACAGATCAATCAATACATTCATTTATAAAAAACGCAATTCATACAACGTAGGAATGCATATGTCCATAAATATTCATTCAGAATGGAAATCTAATCGGCGTTTCAGAGAATCAATTGAACTCAGGTGAAGTAAACCCAGGAGGAGCGTAACAGCCACAGCGCTTTTGCAACAGCAGCGGCAGTGGCAGGAGCAGCAGCAGCGGCAACAGCAGTGGCAGCAGCAGTGGCAGCAGCAGCGGCAACAGCAGTGGCAGTAGCAGGAATTCACTGCCCGCACTGTGAACACGTCCACCATAAGAACTGGGAGCTGGGAAACCCCGAATTGTGTGGAGACATTACTATTGATTTTAAACAAATTCTCAATTTACTTCCATAACCTTTATTTGAACATTGACAACACAAGAAAGCCCGGAGATTCAATACAAGGATTATTTTGTCGTTTTACCCGTGGGTGATTTTTCTCATCTGGCGTTTGGGCTGCAACAACGGCGCACGGCAGCCAGCTCCTGAAACTGGCGCCACCGCCTCCCTAGCACCCTACGGGGCGCGGCAGTCGGTGACGATAGTGCGACGTGTGAATTAGCACGGGGAAAGCAGCCGTCACACTAAGCTCTACACCATCTCTCCACACCTCGTCACAAATAGTATTCAGTTACAGACACGCATACTACATACACATGCACACGCACGTACACTCGGGGATTCATTTTGGCCAGGTATGTTTTGGTCGGCAACCCAGATATTTGTGCACCCGGCACACCACATCGAGTATATCTATTGTTATGGCTGTGGTTGTCGCACGCCAACTACTCTGGACACCTTATAAACGAGATGTTCCAACGGAAGGAATTTCCAGGTGAACAATTTTTTATGAAGTCAAGTACTCGAGTCTCACAGGAACCCGGAAAATAGTGAGTGAGGGATTTGGCCCTGGCTCTGTGTGTCCACCATTTGCTAGCAGTCTCTGAATGTCTTGTCTCATTGTGAGCAAAGTAGTCCTCTAAGATTATTTAACAAATCTCAGATTCTAGCCATGTGTATGTGTGTCTGGAAATTACGATAGTTTTTGACTTTCAACACACACGTTTGCTTAGCAGAGTTAACATTATGGGGCAGCAGTGTTGATGTGAGAGTCCAACAGCAACACGGAGGCTGTCGTAATGTCTCTGTCTCTGCACAATGAGTAAGCGAGAGTTTCTTACGCTTTGTATCTCGCATTGCGATCGACGTAAAGCGATACAATTAAAACAAAAATGTTTCTCTTGGCGAGGACATTCCTGCACAATTGGCACCTTTCCACACAGTGAACACACACAGCACTCTAATTAACAAGAGCAATTAACGAAAACCATTCATGACCAGCGCGTACATCCTGTATAAAGCACAGACTCGTCTCTTGTGCTCAACCTAATCATGGCTAACGCCAGCGGAGCCCTCACAATTGCTGGTTCTCCAAATCACACCAACTCACTCTTTCTGCTGACACCACCACTAACATCGTCATTGCCGACACCACTGACACCCTCATCGTCCCGCGGTGCCAGCTCCGGTGCCCGCGTGCCACTGTCGGCAGTCCTAACCCCGGCATCGATGTTTGCACTCGGCGTCCTGGGCAACACCGTAGCCATCGCGGCCCTGGCCCAGACACCGCGGGGCCGCAAGGATGGCGCCTTCTACGCATTGGTGTGCGGTCTGGCAGTCACCGACCTTCTCGGCACGTGCCTGAGCTCGCCCGTGGTGATTGCCGGCTACGTGCGGGGTGGCTGGCCCGGCGGCGACGCGCTCTGTGGCTTCTTCGCCTTCACGCTGCTGTTTTTCGGCGCAGCCGGCATTAGCATCCTGTGCGCCATGTCGGTGGAGCGCTACCTCGCCATCAACCACCCGTACGTGTACAACCGCTACGTGGATGCGCGGCGTGCCCGCGCGGCGCTCGCGGCGCTGTACGTGATCAATGGCTGCCTCTGCGCATTACCCTGCTCTGGCGTGGGCCGCAGTGTGGCCCAGTTCCCCGGCACCTGGTGCTTCTTGGATTGGCGCAGCAAGGAGCCGAAGCACGCCGCCTACAACTTCGTGTACGGTGGCTACAGCGCGGCGCTCATCGCGATCACCGTCTTCTGCAACATTGCCGTGTGCCGTGCACTGCTGCGCATGAAGCGTCGCACTTTCTGGCGCTCGTCGGTGGCGTCTGTGTCGGTGGTGGTGCCGCCGCCACCGTCCTCCTGTTCTTCGGCGTGCACCAGAACGTCACGCATCTCCGCCGGTCCCTCCTCGTCCCCCTCTGTCGCCACTGCGTTCGCCCGAACGGTTCGGTTGTCCGTTAGGGGCAGTAGCGGTGACAATGGTGGTGGAAGCAGTGGCGGTGGCACTGGCTCGCCCTTGGTTTGTCCGGATTTGGAGCGTGGCGGTTCATGTGCTCCAAGCAGCGCTTGTGAAGTCGGCGAAGCGTCTTCGTGCCGCCGGTGTTGTCGTTCGTCGACGCTCGTCCACGCTCGGTGGTCGTCGGCGTCAGTGCGATCGCCCCGATGCTCGACGCAGACCTGGACATGCGGCTCCCTGACCTTATCCCCGACCCGACCTCAAGCCGACCGCACGGTGCCACTCCTAGCTTCTCCATTGTCGGTCCAGACACCACCACGGCGTCACCCCTCCCCCATGGCCTCGCAGCCTGACTCCGTGACGTCAGTGTCTCTCAGCCGCTGTCTGCCGCTGAGCCGGACGCCACCCGGTCTCCTGGAGCAGGAGCAGGAGCAGTTGGCGAAGGTGTCCGGGGTGGATGCGGATCACGTGGAAATCCAGGAGACCCAGGAGAAAGAGAAGTTGATGAGCGAGTCTCAGAGGGAGTCAAGGCAAGACGCAACCCAGGAGACTGCCGGCTCTCGTGGTGAAGCCACTGGCTGCAGTGATGGACAGCTGTTGGAGTCGAGCCGGAGGGGCCGGTGGCACCGGAGGGGCCTCTGGGCATTGGGTCCCTCGGCCGCTGAGGTGCAGATGTTATGGCTCCTTCTGGTGATGACGGTGGTCTTCCTTGTGTGCTCCATTCCCCTCGTGGTGAGTCCGCGGCTTCCTGTGTAAGGAACCACTGATTTTGTTTGTCCAAGGGTGACTGACCTGGGTTATCAAGGTGATGAATGTAATAATGAGAAATAAAGTACAACAAGAAGAAAATAGAAATCAAAGCAAATGCAACTACACATACATCAGATACAACAATCAAACATAAATAAAATTGTGGTTTTATGTCTCTCTTGGCTCTCCTCGATCTCTCTGCCACATTTAATACCATTGATCGCACAGCTTCTCTGGATTGTCGTCTCACTCAGGTCGGTCTTGTTTCTAAATACCTTTCTTGGTTAATTTCCGACTGCTCTGACCGCTCCTTCCTTGTCTCTATCCAAAGCACATCTCCGATCCCGAGACCGCTCCATGGTGGCCCCCAAAGTCATGCTCTCAGTCTCCTCTTTTCCATCTACCTCCTTCCCCTTAGCAAACTCAGCTCATCCATTAGCATCCCTCATCACTTCTATGCTGACGACACACAGTCCTACAGTTCTTTGACCCATGTGATGCTGCTGTCTTCTGCTGGATCTCTTTCTCCAAACTCGGTATCAAAATAACCGAGGTGCTAAGCTTTGGGAATAATGTTGCTCTCTTCCCACTCCCACCATCCACCTTCTCGACCTGGACTTGAACCTTGCCCCCACAATTTTCAACCTCGGCTGCACAATCCACCCCCAACTCTTTCATGTTTCCCTCCTTGTAGAAATGCTTATTTTCATCTATGGAGAATCACTTGCACAAAAGGCGTTCTTACTGTTACTGAGATGCTTGTCTGCACCTTCATGACATCTCGACTCAACTGTTGTGACTCCCTCTGTGGTCTCCCTGATGTCCATGATGCACACGTCTGACCCCATTCTCTCCGCTCCTGCCCCATGCTTCCCGCACCGACCTCGCCTTCACTACCATCACCACCACCCTGATTCGCCACCATCACCACCACCACCACCTTTCTCACCACCCTGCCTTCTAACCCTCATCACTACCACCACCACACACTTAACCTTCACCATCATCACCACCCTGACTCCTAACACTCGCCACCATCACCACGACTCACAGGTGCGAATCTTCGTGAACCAGCTGCACCGCCCACCGGTGGAGCGCCACATCCCGCATAACCGCGACATCCTGGCCATCCGCCTCGCGTCCTTCAACCCCATCCTGGACCCCTGGGTCTATATCCTGTGCCGGCGGGGACTGCTGGGCCGACTCGTGCGCCTGTGCCGGCGACTAACGCGCAAACATACGCCGGCCACGCAACGCCGAGCCAGAGGCACCATGGTCTCCTGGAGGATGTCCGTGGTGCAAGGAGATGGCGATGATGGTGATGGTGAAGATGATGGAGATTGTGGTGCTGTCAGTGTTCATCGCCGGTCGGCTGGGGTGCAAGAGGACGATGGTGGTGGTTGCGGTTGTACCGGTGGTAGTTGCGCCACCACCAACAGTAGTCGTGGTTGTAGCGATTGCGGTCATGGTTGCGCCGGTGCCATCGACGCCTGTGCCAGTGTTCTCTGTTGGACATCGGTGGCGCAAGCGGATGGTTGTGGCGATGGTGGTTTTGCCACCACCAGCCGTGACGGATGTCAAGGAGTGAGAGGTAGTAATGGTGAAACGATACATACGAGATGAACACAATGAGAAACAATACAAACGAGATGAACACAATGAGAAACAATACAAACGAGATGAACACAATGAGAAACAATACAAACGAGATGAACACAATGAGAAACAATACAAACGAGATGAACACAATGAGAAACAATACAAACGAGATGGAGTTGTCTTCTCAATTGACTGATAACCTGTTGTATTATATCGGAACATGTATCATTATATTCTTGGTTCTTTCGGTAAAGTCACGTAGAAGGGAAACAATCAAATAATAAAAATATAAAACTATATCTTTTTTTATTTAAAGCTTTCGTGACTGCAGTAATTCATATTCTTAGCTCTTTCGGTTAAGTCACTTCGAAGATAAACAATAAAATTATAAAATATATATAAAACAATAAAAATTCTCACGATGTTTCGACCATAATACAAACGGTCGTCATCAGGTGTGAAAAAACCAACGGCAAGAAACATTTGGAAGAATTGTCAGTTCGCATTAATTAATTTATTTTTAAACGGTGTATTTATTTATAAAAAAACGTCAGTGCCATGGGCAGCGATTTGGCAGTTTATTTAGAAGGACTAGTCCATCTATGTTCTGAAAAGAATAGGGGGGAGACGAAAAATTAATGTATGCTGTCTGAAAGCCACCGTAAGCGTGAACAATAAATTAAGACCTGAAATGGTTTATCAAATCCTTCCAATGATTGCTAAGCCAGAATCCATCTTCTCGGTTGAAATTGTCTCTGTGCTTGTATATGTGGATAGCCTCATGAACGAATCTCTCATGGTAGCCAGATGGCTTACAAAGAACCTCTGTCTTGGAAAAGTCAATGTCATGTGAGCCTACTGACTTATAACAATGATCTGCCACGGCCGAGGTGTTGGTCCTACCGTGTTTAAGGCAGTGAACTCAAGCACGTACACCAAGCTCTTAAGGCTAATGGTTACTCCGACTATACAATCCACAAAGCTATCACTCAAACCATGAAGAAGGACCCTCTTGAGGAGCCTTTCAAAACCATCACTTTACCTTACATTGCGGGGATCACTAAAAAGATCTCCAAAATCTTGAATAAACACAAGATCCAGGTCCGTTTCAACACATTATATAAAATCCGTGATCTGGTTCCGTCTGTAAAAGATGTGATTCCGGACATACAGTACCCTTGTGTCTACAAACTAAGTTGCCTCTGTGGTAGTAGTTACATTGGAGAAACCAAACGCCATGTCTCGGACTGCATTCGTGAACACAAAGCAGACCTTAAACACGGTAGGACCAACACCTCGGTCGTGGCAGATCATTGTTATAATTTAGTAGGCTCACATGACATTGACTTTTCCAAGACAGAGGTTCTTTGTAAGCCATCTGGCTACCCTGAGAGATTCGTTCATGAAGCTATCCACATATACAAGCACAGAGATAATTTCAACCGAGAAGATGGATTCTGGCTTAGCAATCATGGGAAGGATTTGATAAACCATTTCAGGTCTTAATTGATTGTTCACGCTTACGGTGGCTTTCAGACAGCATACATTAATTTTTCGTCTCCCCCCTCCTCTTTTCAGAACATAGATGGACTAGTCCTTCTAAATAAACTGCCAAATCGCTGCGCGTGGCGCTGACGTTTTTTATAAATAAATATACACCGTTAAAATAAATTGATTAATGCAAGCCGCCACTTCTTTCAAATGTTTCTTGCCGTTGGTTTTTTCACACCTGATGACGACCGTTTGTGTTATGGTCGAAACGTCGTGAGAATTTTTATTGTTTTATATATATTTTATTATTTAATTGTTTCCCTTCAACGTGACTTTACTGAAAGAGCTAAAAATATATATTTTTTATTATTATATTGTATATTTTTCTTATTTGATTGTTTCCCTTCTACGTGACTTTACCGAAAGAACCAAGAATATGAATCCCTGCAGTCACGAAAGCTTTAAATCAAAATGTATTATCATGTTTATAATTATTTAAAAACTTAATCTTGTTTCTGTAAGCAAATGCTCTGCACTTACTAGCATTGCTAGTCTTAGAGTTAAAGCCGGGACGGGGCCGGTGAGTTCACAGTGGCCGTGTCACCTGTGAACACGAGCGTTTTATCGTGTGCTTGCGGCTTGAACACAGATTGATGCCGTAAATCCTCCTCGCAGGAGCCCGCGATGCGCGGCGCACAGACCCCGTTAAACGCGAAACACGGAATGCGCGTCTCAGGCACTCGCGATTACACCATCACATCCGCTACACCGGCCAATCAGCTGCCAGGACAAAAAACCTGACGCAACATAGCTGTCGTAATGTCATTGCTGCGGTCTGTGGCTGAGGTAACTTGTATTTGTGATTTACGATTTTAAAGTAACGTGAGTGTGTATCTTTGTTTTTTCGTGCACATTTGTGCGAGTGTGTGAGTGCATGTTATTGTCTTCGAGCTTGTGAGAGCGTTTGTATCTATCGTGTGCCGTGCCAGCCTTTATCGGTGCTACTATCTAACAGCACTTTCTACAATAGTCTGTTTAGGCTACACGGGGAATCTTTGTTTCGCAGCGTGTTTATTTGTGCGATCAAGAGATGGCTCCCGATTGGCCGACCATTGATTTGCGGATGATCTTGTAAATGCTGCTGATTCTGAGTTTTTGAACCTGGAGCGTGCTAAGAGATTGGGCCTTGCCCATGGCCGGATTAAGATTTTGTAGGCCCCTGGGCTACAGGTACTGTGAGGCCCCCAGTAATATTTTCAAAAGGAAAACAAAGTTAAAGAAAAATAGCATTTATTTTTACAAGACTAACAACAAATAAAATTCAGAATTCGTGAAACAACTTTTCACTTAATCTCTGGAGGTCCTCCAGCTGGCGGAAGCCCCTGGGCTGCAGCCCCTAAAGCCCGTGCCTTAATCCGGCCCTGGCCTTGCCATCAGCCTCACAAAAATAAATCACGTGCCTGAGTACCTTATGTCATCAAATACTGCCTCCACTCTCCAGAAGCAATGGGGCAGTTGTGCAGAGAGTGGGAGCCGTTTCCGTACCCGGGCAGTGTGCTTGTGACATTGCGATTTTGCAACAGGTCTCCGAATCACCCAAAAGGCATTGTCTTTTCATCGTCACCGCCACTTGGTGTCGAACAACGGTTTTAATTTGTAATTGTACTGGTGATGGTGTGTCTGCGTGTATATTTGTGATGGTGTGTGGCTGCGTGTGTTTGTTGAGGTGGTGGTGCCATGTCAATCGACTTGGTCAACTCATGGTACCTCTGGGTCTGTCTTGTGATCCCCTGCCAGCGAGTCTTCGACACTTGACGATGCATCTAGCCTGACACAAGTACTATGATGACGCCACCGCCACTTGGTGGTGAGTGGTGGCTGTGTGTGAGAGCGTGTGTGGTGCCGCGACCGCGGAGCAAATCCGCAGGTGCCGCGACCGTGGAGCAAATCCGCAAGCGCCGCGATTGCCTCCCGACCCCTGCAGTAATCACACACCCGCACGCAGCGCACCCACATACAGTGAAGGAAAAAAGTATTTGATCCCCTGCTGATTTTGTACGTTTGCCCACTGACAAAGAAATTATCAGTCTATAGTTTTAATGGTAGGTTCATTTGAACAGTGAGAGACAGAATAACAACAGAAAAATCCAGAAAAACGCATGTCAAAAATGTTATAAATTGATTTGCATTTTAATGAGGGAAATAAGTATTTGATCCATCTGCAAAACATGACTTAGTACTTGGTGGCAAACCCCTTGTTGGCAATCACAGAGGTCAGACGTTTCTTGTAGTTGGCCACCAGGTTTGCACACATCTCAGGAGGTATTTTGTCCCACTCCTCTTTGCAGATCTTCTCCAAGTCATTAAGGTTTCGAGGCTGACGTTTGGCAACTCGAACCTTCAGCTCCCTCCACAGATTTTCTAAGGGATTAAGGTCTGGAGACTGGCTAGGCCACTCCAGGACCTTAATGTGCTTCTTCTTGAGCCACTCCTTTGTTGCCTTGGCCGTGTGTTTTGGGTCATTGTCATGCTGGAATACCCATCCACGACCCATTCACGACCCATTTGCAATGCCCTGGCTGAGGGAAGGAGGTTCTCACCCAAGATTTGACGGTACATGGCCCTGTCCATCGTCCCTTTGATGCGTTGAAGTTGTCCTGTCCCCTTAGCAGAAAAACAGCCCCAAAGCATAATGTTTCCACCTCCATGTTTGACGGTGGGGATGGTGTTCTTGGGGTCATAGGTAGCATTCCTCCTCCTCCAAACACGGCGAGTTGAGTTGATGCCAAAGAGCTCCATTTTGGTCTCATCTGACCACAACACTTTCACCCAGTTGTCCTCTGAATCATTCAGATGTTCATTGGCAAACTTCAGACGGGATGTATATGTGCTTTCTTGAGCAGGGGGACCTTGCGGGCGCTGCAGGATTTCAGTCCTTCACGGCGTAGTGTGTTACCATTTGTTGTCTTGGTGACTATTGTCCCAGCTGCCTTGAGATCATTGACAAGATCCTCCCGTGTAGTTCTGGGCTGATTCCTCACTGTTCTCATGATCATTGCAACTCCACGAGGTGATATCTTGTAAGGAGCCCCAGGCCGAGGGAGATTGACAGTTCTTTTGTGTTTCTTCCATTTACGAATAATCGCACCAACTGTTGTCACCTCGCCAAGCTGCTTGGCAATGGTCTTGTAGCCCATTCCAGCCTTGCGTAGGTTTACAATGTTGTCCCTGACATCCTTGGAGAGCTCTTTGGTCTTGGCCATGGTGGAGAGTTTGGAATCTGATTGATTGATTGCTTCTGTGGGCAGGTGTCTTTTATACAGGTAACAAGCTGAGATTAGGAGCACTCCCTTTAAGAGTGTGCTCCTAATCTCAGCTCGTTACCTGTATAAAAGACACCTGGGAGCCAGAATTCTTTTTGATTGAGAGGGGGTCAATTACTTATTTCCCTCATAAAAATGCAAATCAATTTATAACATTTTTGACATGCGTTTTTCTGGATTTTCTTGTTATTCTGTCTCTCACTGTTTAAATAAACCTACCATTAAAATTATTGACTGATCATTTCTT